CCATCAGAGCCAGAGTGGCAAAATGCAGATCAGGGGTTCCCTGAGGATGGAATTGAGAGGGAAGAGAGAGGGGTGAATGGGAGGGACCCCACGGGGGCACAGGAGACGTGCTCTGGATCACGGTGATGGTTCCACTAAGAAGTAGCCACGTCACGCCTTACCGCCTAGCACCCTTTAAACACGGGAGCTTATTAGACATCCGCGGGATCCCCCCAGAGGTAGGAAGGGAGAAGAGTGAGTTAGGTACATGGTGGCCTGCTGGTCGATTGTCTAACAAGGCAGAATGGACAGTCATTAAAAGCCAGTGCATTAGAACCGCCAGAAATTCAAGCCAGTGTCAGAGAGGATGTGGGCCAGGAGATCCTTTTGATGTCCGGTGGACTTTGGCTGAAAACAGAGAATACCAGGAAAGTACTTCCCTATGCTTCAGGGGCTCAGCGAAAGGCACGTGGTGTGTGATCACAGCAAACTATGAATGAGACCGTCGAGGGCAGGACTTCTCTCACATGGGATTGTGCTCAGGCGGGACGTGTGCATGCGCCAAGAAGTACAATTCTGAACAGGAGAACAAGAAGAGTTGCAGAGTGGCTTTTGTGGCGTGCTTGCGTGGCCCCAGCCAGAAGGACGGGGAGGGCGTGGCCTTGAGAGGACACGGGGGTACTCACCAGTGGTTTTGCCGCACGAATACAGAGCGAGGACCCCCTGGTTGGCCAAGTAGAGGGCGGGGATGTTGAAGGTCTCAAACATGATCTACGGAGAAAAATTAGCCATCGGTACCAGTTCGGCCAGAGAGTGAGAAGATAAAATGTGAATCCCACGTGCAAGAGGCCCCTTGACTCCCCATGTGAGACCCAGACCAGTAGTCAAGATAGCATGTCACACACACACACCCCACCTAACCCCAGCTCTAAAGTAACATGTGACTTGTGCAGCTTCTGAGCCTGCCAATCGGGGATCAGATCCTGCCGCCTTCTTGGAAGGATGGCCGACATGTTGCCTGTTGGTGCTGTTCAGTACCATGGTCTGTGTGGGCCCAGCTGGGGATTCTGGGCTAGGGAAGATGAGCACCAGGTCTTTCTTCCACAGAGTCCTTG